GGATATGGTTGGTTGTTCTTTCCTTGTTCTCCATGTTCTGTTGTGTGCCTTATTTATTAATAGGAAGTCATTTAAGTACTGAGAAGTTCTGTTCTTTGGACTGGGTACAGTGAGCATTACTGACTAGCATATTCTATTGTTGCATTGAGAGACTTTGGTTTCTTACCTAACTTAATTTTTTTCCCTAAATGTTTTGATATTTTACTATCTTGCTTAAACAATTATATCCACTGTACTCTTATTTTTAGATTTCTTTGCCCAAAGCAATTATTTTCCAGATCATCTACTTTACTTCTTTAGACCTAGAAACTGATTACTACAATTATAATTCAAAACCTATTTTCTGCTGCCCTGCACTGAGCTGGGTAATTGAGTGTAAATGGTGATTTCCTTTGCATGCTTTGCCATTGTGTTAAGTGGGGTTTTTTGGTTAAAAGACTAGAGGTTGCCTGCTGAATATGCTTATATTAACAATTGTAAAAGAAAGTAAATTACTTTGGGGAGTATTAATGAATAGATATTTAAATTACATAGCTAAATCTTTTCCATCCTTTATTAAGCAAACAATTAGATTAACACCCCCAAGTTATTTAATCAACAGTTTATATGCCATATTTGGGTATTTGTTACAGAGAAAAGTGATATTTGCATGACTCCTAAGACATTACAACATCATAATTCATGTTGTTATTTTAAACATTAAGATTCAGAATATATATATGAGTTTACAAGGGAACAAGTTTAATCCTTAGAAGAAAGATTCATATCACTGTAGCATCAGTTTTTCTAGAGAACACCAATGATTAGTAGTTTCTACATGGGTGGTAGGGGTAGAGCACAGCAAGGGAAGGATGCTTGTCCCCAACTACAAGGCTGGGTCACTAACATGTTACAGGATATGAGGGGGATATAAGGTAGGTCTTCATGTGATATTTCCCAACCTCACTTGACACCGATTTCTTCCTTTAAAGAACGTCACATAGCCAGGCAGTGGTGTTGCATACCTTTAATTCCAGTACCCAGGAGGCAGAGGCAGGTGAATATCTATGAGTTCAAGAGGGCTACACAGAGAAACCCTGTCTCAAACAAACAAACAAAAGAGCTCCACAAGATACCAATTTAGGGTGTTAGCTAATTAAATTTATATAACCTTAAGCAGCTAAAATGAATATTAGGGGAAGGAAGGAGTATTGCTGGCCTCAAGGTTTCTTTTACTAACTTAGTTTAAATTAGATACATTAATTTGATGTAGTTTCCAGGAGGTTTAACTAGGGATCTTTAAAGCATGGTTCTGAACAGGAAGAGATTAATAACACTCCACAGAGATATCACTGAAAAACAGACCGTTAAAGGTAGCTTCTAAGCCTAAGTATTAATCCCACCTCACTCTTAGGGGCAGTTGTGATAATGGCTTCCAACAACACTATTATATGATAATGTGCCGTCTTGAAAACAATCTGTTAGTGACATAGCAACAAAACACATTACTTTAACGGTTTGATTTACAGTATAATTTCACACTCTCAGACTTCAGTAATGATTAGTTTCAGTTTATAAGCATTGGATTATGCACAGAAAATTTGACAATTGTGAATATGCTAGCACTAATTAGAAGTAATTTTATTCATGAACACTAGTAGAAAATTAGTAAAAAGGAGAAAAAGTAAAGACGGTTTCAAAAATACTGTCTCTCCAGTGGGCCAGTATCTGGTGTGATAGTGTGCAGGGCAAACTTTCTTAGATATTTGGTCATGGTGTTTTATTTCTGCAAGATACTAAAGTCTAGGAGCTTGTCTTTCAGCATGCTGACACTCACCTTTAATCCCAGCATTCAGAGGCAGGTGGGTCTCTATGAGTTCAAGATAGCCTGGTCTACAGAGTGAGTTCCAGTACAACCAGGGCTATATAGAGAGGCCCTGTCTCAAAAGAAGTTTTTTATGTAGTATATTTTGATCATGTTCCCTCTCTCTTCCCAACTCCTCCCAGGTCCAAGTCCCCCTACCTCCCAACTTTATGTTCTCATTCTCTCTTGCAAAAACAAAACCAAATAAAACCCACAAAAATAAAAATCAAAACAAGCAACAAGACAAGAATGCCAACACATACATACACAAAACAAACAAAAATATTGAACTACAGAATTTGTTTTGTGGTGGCCAACTACTCCTGGGTATGGGACCTACTCTGTAGTGTGGTTGATATACACGCTGACACTCCATTGAAGAAAACTAGTTTCTTGATTAGGGGTGGGAACCCGGGTCTACTTTCCCTTCTCGGTGCTGTGACCCTATGTGGCTTGAACCTGTGTAGGTTTTGTATGTGTTGCCACAGTCTCTGTGAGTTCATGTGTGTATCAGTCCTGCTGTGTCTGAAAGACACTGTTTCCTTGGAGTCATCCATTCCCCCGGCTCTTATAGTCTTTCTGTCTCCTCTTCCACATAGATAGATCCCTGAGATTTGTGGGGAGAGCTTTGATGAAGACAACCATTCAGTGCTCCAAAGTCTTTCACTCTCTGGACATTGTCTAGTTGTGGGTCTCTGTTAATTCCCATTTACTGCAGATAGAAGCTTCTATGATGTGGTTGAGAGAAACACTGATCTATATGGGTATAGTAATATGTCATTAGGAGATATTTTATTGCTATGTTCCTTTGGCAAAATACAGTATTAGCTTTCTCCTATGCCCATGACCTGTATGGTCTCAGGTTCTTAGTGTCAGCTATAGGTTCCATCTAATGAAGTGGACTTTAAATCCAACCAGAAAGTGGTTGGATACTCATATAACATTTGTGCTGCTATTACACTAGTATATCTTGCATTGTTTTAGGCCACAGGGTTTATAGTTGAGTGATATTGATGATTTATCTTTATCTTCCAGTAGTGTGTAGTAGTAAAGCTTCTAGTAAGGTACTAGCTCTGTATTTGATGGCATACATAAGTGTTATCTTCTGCAGTAGAGCCTTATCATTAGTTGTAGAGAATAACCAATAGCCTTGGCAATAGCCTGTGATGTTTTAAGGGAGTTCCATGGGATCCCGTTGATCAACAACTCAATAAGATATAACCCTTTCCTGACACTGGAGGTTTTACTTGGTGGCATACGATATCTAGAAAGGCATTGCCTCCCCTATTATTTAGATTACTTTCACACATGTATATATTTTAGACTTATACAGTAAGAGCTTTCCATGTGGGTTCTCAATGGCCTTTAACATTAGTTAGTTCTTATTATTTTTCTTATCAGATTACTTTGTAGCTTTTCTATAGTGTGGTGTTTCTAGCAGTCTCTTGAGGAGAAGCTTAGGACATCATCTGTTATCTCAATGGTTCTCATTTATGACAGTGGCTTCAGTTACTTCCTGTTTACTGATGATTTAAGAAGACAGAAAATATAAATTTAGAGTTTGTAGTTCCTTAAGTCTGAGCTCCAGTCCTCAGCCTATCTTAGTTTTAGTTTTCTGATCTATAAGATAGGAGCAAGTGTTGTATTATGGGTGATCTCAAATACTGAGAGAATCTTTGAAAAGTCCTAGCAGCTTGGCACTCTGGTATGTTATAAATAGTATTTGTTAATGTCTTAATCCTCCTATCCATGCTGACCCTTACTCCTCCTTTTTGCATGTGCATGAGCTCCTGTGGGGTACGTGCAAAAGCATGTGTGCACATACCTTGTGGCAATCAGCAGTCTATGTCGTATTTTCCTCAGCTGATCTCTGCCTGGTTTTTTGAGTAAGGACTCTCACTGAACATAGAGCTCACAGATTTGGCTAGAGACTGGCTGTCTAGCAAACTCCAGTAATCCTCTCTGTGCTTCTGGCACTGAGATTATAGATGTATACCACTGTGCCTTAGTTTTTGCTTGGGTACAGGAGATCCAAACTCAGGACCACATACTTGTACAGCATGCATTTTACCAACTGAACCATCTCCCCAGCCTTCCTACTACTTCCTTAAAATTTCAGGTTTTTACCTTTCTGCTCTTTCTAAGTCTGGACCTGGGTGTCCTATGGAAATAATGCTTAATAAATAAACTTCCAAATATATTCCCTTTCTTTCAGAGTAATATTCCAGTTCTTTGCCCCATGGTTTCCCTCTCTCATTTATCAATACCATTATTTACTTAATAATTATTGTCAGAAATCTATCAGTAGTCCATCAGTTCACCCTCACTATGCCTCAAGATTGTTTTTCAATTTATATACTAAAGTGTCTCTCATTTTTTCCTGTTAAATTAGTTCAGGTCTTTACCTTTTTGTTGGGCTAACATAGTAACTGCTGCCCTGCCCCCCCCCCCATCGCCCCCTCCCCCTCCCCAGCCACTTCATACCCTCCAGTTTTTCCTGCCAGCACTCAGAATAGCACAAAGTATGCAGCACACATTGCATATTTCATGTCACTCTAGGCCATTGCACGTGGTTTTGGCCACCTTTTGAATTTTCTATCTCCTTTTGTCTTGGAAATCTGTTGACCATTTCTTGCCTTCCTAAACTTCCCTGTCTCATAGAAGACTTCTCTGGCCGTTTTCCTATACATAGACAATACACTTGTAGCATTGTGTTGTTTAAGTACTTAGTTCTATAGACTCATACTAACATCATTGATACCAATAGCAGTGTCATCTAGTGTTATTTTTTTTTTTTTTTTTTTTTTTTTGGTTTTTCGAGATAGGGTTTCTCTGTGTAGCTTTGGAACCTATCCTGGCACTTGCTCAGAGCCTATCCTGGCACTCGCTCTGGAGACCAGGCTGGCCTCGAACTCACAGAGATCCGCCTGCCTCTGCCTCCGGAGTGCTGGGATTAAAGGCATGCACCACTAATGCCCGGCTTAGCGGGAGTTTCTTAGAAATGGGAATTGCTTTGCTAAACCTTCTTATCTGTGTGTCCTTTTGTTTTTATATTTTTTTCATTGTAGACAATGATGTGAATAAATAAATTGTGAACACATCGATTGAATTCTTAAAATGTCAGTTTTTCTGTATCTGTTTCTGGATGTCCTTTATCTATTGTGCTAAGAGGATCTACACATGTATAATGAAGTCAAAGTTTTTTGTTTTTTTTTTTGGTTTTTTGAGACAGGGTTTCTCTGTGTAGCTTTGGAGCCTATCCTGGCACTCGCTCTGGAGACCAGGCTGGCCTCAAACTCACAGAGATCCACCTGTCTCAGCTTCCTGAGTGCTGGGATTAAAGGCCGCGCCACCAACGCCCAGCCTGAAGTCAAACTTCTTTGTGCTGTTCTCTTAGAGCACTTCATGTTTTCTTATTTCTTTTTGCCTATGTATAATCTCCTTCCTATTTCTTACACTTAAAAATAATTTCTCTTTTCTTAGCAGCTTTTCTTGAGCTGTGGTCCATCATGTGTGAGTTGGCAATGTCCTTTTTCCTAGTTCTAACCCATCACCACTATTATCAAAGTCTAGAGCACTTACTCTGAGCAGTTTGCTATGTATCTTCTATAGTTCTCATTAAATAAAGGGTGAACGCATCATATATAGTGTTAGACTGGATGACAGCATGGAGCATGAAAGCTAAAGCAAGGCCTACTAAAACTTTCATTAAATTATTAAGGTTTGGCAGAGGTACTGATTATGTCAGTTTAAGTGCTACGTTAGTAAATGTTCTTAACAAGTGAATGTTAAGTCTTAACTCTCTGAAGACACAGGTGAACCTGATTTGTGCTGTTAGGTTAGTGGAGATCTATTGCCAGCTTTTCAAAGTAAGCTTTTCTATTCTGTTTTCAAAGAATGTCATCAGTCTTTCGTTGTTAACATTTAGACGGCAGTTCCTGAGACTTCCTCTCTCAGCTGCTAACAATTGCCAGTAGCTCCTTGGCTAGGGGTAGAACTTTGTGCCCATCTCCCCTCTCCATGCTGGGATTTGGTCTGGATTGGGCTTGCACAGATCTTGTGCATGCTGTCACACATGCTGTGAGTTCATATGTGCAACTTCCCTGCTGTGTCTAGAAGACACTGCTTCCTTGTAGTCATTCACCACTTGTGGCTCTTACACTCTTTCCACCCCCTCTTCTGCAATGATCCCTGAGCCTTTAGAGGAGGGGTATATATAGTATATCTGTTCCATTTAGGGCTGAACCTTCTGTATTCTCTTATTCTCTGCACATTGGCTAGTTGTGGTTTCCTGTGTTGATCATCTACAGGAATCAGAAAGTTCTCTGATAAGGACTGAGTGGGGCCTTCATGAAGAGTTTACTTCATACTGTGTCCATTTAGCAGAATACAGTAGTAGGTTCTCTCCCAGGTTCTGTGATCTATCTGGCCGTAGATTCTTGACCTGATGCCAGGGATGAGATTTATCTTGTGGAAGGATCCATACATCCAATTAGGAAGTGGTTGGTTAATTCCACATTGGTGCCACTGTTGTATCACTATTGAGCATGTTTTGGCCAGCCACTCCTTGTAGCTCACTGGGTTGTTAACAGCAGGGTAAGACTCATGATGACATTTCTCCTCTGGTAGAGTGCATGCACTTTCCATGAAAGCTAGCCAGTAGGGATGAATCTTCCAGTTCAGTACCAGCTTGATTTCTGTAAGTCCTGTAACTCAAGTGTATGGCATCTTCAACAATAGGGCCTGATTGTCAGGTTCTGGAGGGAAGCCAAGAGCATTATTAATGGCTTGTAATATTTGGAGATCTTTGGGACCTGACCAGTAACCCATTCCTGAGACTATGCCTTTTATTTGTTAGCCTCTTGTGTCTGGTAGGGGTATTGTTGCTTTGTTAAGATAAGTCCATTTTAATGATTTCTATTTATTTATAGATATATCTTAGGAAGATTCTACAGTAGTAGGTTTCCATATGACTCTTTTTGAAAACTCTTTATTGTGATTTATCTCTTCTAGTTTCCCTGTTCTACCCTGTCTTCCTTTCCCCACCCCAATTTATCCTTTCCTTACCATGAGTCCCCTTTAACCTTTAATAACAGTGCATTCTATCTCCTCTGCCTCAAAAACCGCATCTCATGGCCCCTTAGTAAGTTCCTGACCTCTGTGGATATTCTAAGCAAACCACGTATATCTAAATGTAATAAGTTTAATAAGTAATCTAGAGATGATTTTTAAGTATACAGAAATTTTTGTGTAGATTATACTCTAATAGTTGCCATTTTATATAAGGGACAAAAATATCAGTGAAATTTAGTATTCTTGTGGGGGTCCTGCAATCAATCCTCTTCAGACACCAAGAAATGTGAATTCTTGCCTTGATGAATGTCATCTAACACATATTTTCCACATGAAGCCTTCTTGTGCCTAGACACATTAGACAGCACTTCATCACTATGCTTGGGGACCATCTTGAGTAGTGAAACCAACAAAAAGCACAAAATGTAAAGCATGAATCAAATAGACTCCACTAAAGGAATTTGTTTATAATGTGATCGTGGGAACAAGAAGAGGGAATATTATCTCATTTTACCTCAACTGGCCTAATGTACAGTTCATCAGGAGACTCAATTTTTGCTGCGGCTGTGTGTAACTGTTAACTGTAAACATGCTTCAAGTATCGATTTCAAAGGTTACAAATAAATTTAAGCAAGTAAGAAAATTGACAGATATGGAATCTGAACAATTAGGATCAACGATATATGAACTATTATATTTATATGTGTAGTAAATGTAGGTATAAGCCTTTATAGTTGGCCTTCACTTTCTTTGGTGTTTTCTTTCCCTTTAAAGATTATTATTCATTGTTTTCCCACATACCTGATAGTACATTGTGCAAATCATTATAAATATGACAAAGTTTCCAGGCCTACAATATGGACAAGTTTACCCTATTTATTAAAAGCTTCCTAATAATACAGTTTTTTTTTACTTGCAAATCTTTCATAGGGTAAAAATTTATATGATAGAGGTAGCATAAAAATTTGCATATTGAAACTTAATATTCTAAATTTATTTCATTTAGATATAAAGTTATAATTAACAGTATCGACTTTATTGTGTTTGAATTACCATTGTTTTCTTCATTAATGCGTATCAAGCCATTGGAAATAATTTGCATTATACAGACATATAGAAATTAAGGCTTATTTGATTAGCAAAATCCTAGAAATTTATCCACTCGGCCACTAAAATATTTTAAAGGTAAAAAAAAGCAATGTATGAAGGAATTTATAATATATATGTGTGAAGAGTGATAATAAGCTGGGCGGTGGTGGCACATACCTTTAGTCCCAATACTCAGGAGGCACAGGCAGGTAGATCTCTGAATTCAAGGCCAGCCTGGTATACATAGTGAGTTCCAGGACAGCCAGGACTGTTACACAGAGAAACTCTGTCTCAAAAAAAAACAAAACAAACAAACAAAAAAAAGAATGGTAATAAAATAACAAGTTACTAATCTAATGTCATAGTAGGAAGTAGAATATCACTATTGCTTTCAAAAATCTTCTCTTTATTTCTCAATCTCCCTTCCTGTTTAAACCATCATCTTGGCCTTTATAGTCATTATTCCTTTTGATTTATTTTGTTGTAGCTTTATCTGAAATGTGTGTCCCTTAACAGTATACTGTGTTGCATACACAAATTTAGCTATGTAAGCAAAGGACAGTATTGCTGCCATCCTATGAAGACTTTGAAAAGTGGAATAGTGAAAAAGAATCTTTCTTATAGTGTGGCTTCAGATGCCTGGAACTGTTTAGAACTCCATTTTGACAAGTCAGTTAGCATGATCACTTGCAAATCCTAGAATTTGGGGCTTTTGCCAGGAAGGAAAGGAGATTGGGGCTGTTGTGAAAGTAAGCTGTTGTGAAAGATTCAACAGGAATGTAGTCTAGAGCATAGGTCTTACCTCATTTCCTGCTCTTGAGCCCACTGACACTTGCCTCTAGCACTTAGAAGTACCTGAAAGCAGGATGCTGGAGTGGAGTAAAATGAAGGTCCTCACTTGGTCCATACAGCAGAAAAGAACAGGAGATCTCATCAGTCCATGGCCAGAAAATGCCAAACAGGAGACTCTGGATCCAACACACCTGACAATTGTGTTTCCAGGTTAAAAATGTAGTCAGTAGTTGTGGGAACCCCCTGTCACACAGCCTGGATTGGTTCCCCTCTCTATATTTGGGTGCCTAACAGTCAGCCTGGAACTTCCCTTCTTTACATTCCTAGGGATTTCCTTCATCTGTCTTCTGTGTTGAAGCTCCTATTTGAAATCCTTTAGTGTCTTTTTAATCGGTACACTCGTGTACAAATAGACTCTATAATAAGTTTCCCTTAATGTAGGCATGGTAAGTAAATTGTTGACCTTCCAGTGTCTGAGAATACCTTGATGCTCTGGCTGGATACAGAATTAAAGGTTTGAGGTCATTTTCCTTCATTATGTGTTCTTGTTCTAGTGCTGCTATTGAATGCCTGGAGCACCGTATGTGAAGTGCGGTCATCTTTGCTTTCTGTGCACTCTTACCTCCATATCTGGAAATGTGAAAATTTGACCTCACAATGGTGTGTGTATAGACTTGGCTTATGTATTTTGCTGAATCTTCTGCAAGGCCTTTTAAGAGGAATTTTTTTCTATTTATTATTTTTGCTTTGCTTTATGGGACATTTCCTCAGCACTGCCTGCCAACCTTTATACTGAGTTTTAGGATCCTTTGTGTGTTTATTTTTCCAAAGCCCTTTTTTGTTTTCTAAAATTTCTGGTTTTGTTCATTGTTATTAAACTTTAGAAAGGAATATTAATGCTAATTTTTAGTGTTTATTTTGTTTGGTCTGTTTCCTCTAAATTATTCTTTCTGTTCTTATTTGTCTCTGATTTTTGACTCTTCTCCAGAAGTCTTAAGAGCCATGGTTGTCTGGTTATGATTATAAATTATGATTATAAAGCATTGTTTCAATTGGTGGCTGTATTACCCCCTCCCCCAGGCAACATTTGAAGACATTTTTTGGTTATTAAACCCTGGGGTAGGGGTTATTACTAGTCTTCAGTGAATGCAATGCATATTCCTAGACAAGAAAACATTTAGCCCAAAATGGTAATAGTGCTAACTTGAGAAATCTCACAGCAGAAGGACTAAAAGCTGATTGAGAGACAATGAATCTCTCTAGAAGGTGATCTAATTAATTTAGGGCATCTTAAAGTTTTCTAATTATGACTCCTTTTCACCTGAGAAATTTTATGCAACTTCAGGTAAAATTAGTACACAAATCAATCACTTACTTTACAAGTCATAAATAAACTTATTTGAAAACAATTCCTTTGTGTATATATAGTTTTACCATTTGTTAAGGATGAAAGCAAATTTTCACACTAAGCCATTGTGCTTATTTTTACATGAATTAAATTTTGGCTGAATGTTTGAAACGAAAGAGCTTAGAGCATATTAAATATTTTTCAGAGTTGATTGATACTGATGTTGCAATTGTCAATGCTGAGGTCATTGTTTTTCATAAATACAATGACAGAAATGTGTTTAGAACCATTTTAGAAATTGTTAAAAATTCTGTCTTGATACCAACCCAAAATGCATTTAATGATTTTTTTATGAAACCCAAGTCAGAAACTCAAACAGTAATTTTAAAAGTCAGTCATTCTAACCCAATCCAATCCAAAGGTACACTAATTTATTATATGCTCAGGAATCATAGTAGGAAAATATTAAAGGTCTGTTTTCATAATCAAAACATTATGTTTCTATAAAAGCAGAAAACATTCTATGTACAATAAGTGCACTGTAGTTCATAGCATCAGTCTCAAATCTGAGCTAAGGTGTAAAATGGCCATGCTGTGTTTTCAAAACCAAAGCTGTGACTACTGCCAGAAACACCTCAGATTCATTACATGTTTGGTTTTGAATTAGTCTTTTCGGGGAGGGGGGCATTGTTAAGCATGTGAAACCTTTCACCATGTTTTTTTGTATCTGCTGTGTCTGTGACACATTCAGTTTTGTGGTCTCATAGGGTCACACCCCACATTGTAAGAAGCTGGGATGTAGTTGAATGATATAGAGAACTTCATGTTATCTTTCATCTTTTCCACTAGACTGGTTAAATATTCAATAGGAAAAAATTCATCTCTTAGGGTTAAGATCCAACTTTCAACATTCCCTCTGATAGGAAAAAGGACTGAGACTATCCAGAAATATATGGTATATTGACAGCTAGAGATCTAACTTCTTCTTTAACACATTTCTTCTAGTTCTAGCTTCATGAGATTCTTTTTTATTAAAAAGTTTATTTCATTTAATATACCAACCCCAGTTTTCCCTCCCTCCCCTTCTTTTTTTCTGTCCCCACATCCCCCTCTTTCCACCCCCCATCCACTCCTCAGAGGGGGTAAGGCCTCCCTTGGGGAGTCAACAAAGTCTGGCATACCAAGTTGAAGCAGAACCAAACCCCTCTCCCCTGTAACAAGGCTGAGCAAGGTATCCCTCCATAGGGAATGGGCTCCAAAAAGCCAGTTCATGCACCCAGGATATGTCTTAGTTCCACTGCTACCCCCCATCAACAGATAAGTCACATAACTGTCATCCACATTCAGAGGGCCTAGTTTGGTCCCATGCAGGTTCCCCAACTGTCAGTCCATAGTTCATAGTCTGTGAGCTCCCAGTAGCTTGGGTAAGCTGTTTCTGTGTTTTCCCCATCATGATCTTGACCCCCTTTGCTCCTGCCTCCCTCTCTTCAACTGAACTCCAGGATCTCAGCCCAGTGTTTGGTTGTGGATCTCTGCATCTGCTGCCATCAGTTACTGGATGTAGGTTCTATGATGACAATTAGGGTAGTCATAGATCTGATTATAGGAGAAGGCCAGTTCAGGCATCCTCTCCACTATTGCTAGGAGTCTTAGCTTAATCTTGTGGATTCCTGGACATTTCCCTAGCACCAGGTTTCTCCCTAACCCCATAACGGCTCCCTTTATAAAGCTATCTCTTTCATTGCTCTCCCCCTCTGTCCCTCCCCAACTTGGCATTTTTGATCCCCCACGTTCCCATACCTCATCTCCTCCCTTCTACCCCCTCCCAATTTACACAGGAGATCTCATCTAATTCTCCTTTGGGCCCTTCTTGTTACCTAGCTTCTCTAGAGCTGTGGATTATAGTCTGGTTATCCTTTGCTTTGCATCTAATATCTACTTGTTAGTGGATACATACCGTGTGAGATTCTTTATTATTCTGTAATGTAAATGGGTTTGGTTTCAAATAGCCTTTCTTGTTTTCTCTAAATCAGCTCTTCCAAGTTTGCTGCATCAGTTAACATCACTGCATCTATGTATGCTCTTATCCCTCAAATTTGATTATTACTATTTCACCTCTCTTGTTCTCTCAGTCCTTTCCTTAAACTCCTTCCAGTAGATTTGGCGAATATGTTGGATGCACTGTGCTAGTTTATCTTGGTATTCTGGAAAGCAGCATACTAGTTTCATATAATTCTAGTCTCTTTTTTTCAAATATATCTTCTAGCTCATTAATATCTGCTTTGATCTTAAAATTTTGAGACCAGATCTCACTATGTAAAGTTGGGTGGCCTAGAACTTCGTACATAGAGCAAGCTGGCCTCAAACTCACAGAAATCTGTATGGGATACCTCCACAGGACTTCATCAAGGAAGCCCCAGGTGTCCCCCAATACAACACAGGTTCTGTCAGTACTTTTAGTTATCCACCATTAAAGGCTATGACTCTTTGCTAAAGACACTGCCTACCCTGCTTGCAAGATAGAAAGAAAGCAGGCTGAAACTGAACTGGAAACTTCCGTCCTGCTGGTGACCCTCATAGTCCCAGAAGGTGCTACTCTGCAGGCTTCTGGGAGAGAAAAGGATGGGTCTTACCCATCTGTGTACTCTACAAACAGTTAAAAAAAAAACTGCCCAGCAAGATGTGCCTACCTTTACAATAGTGGCACAATTGTTGTGGGGATAACCAACTACCATCTTATAAGATTTGAGGTTTGTTCCCAAGAGAGGAACTCACAACTAGGACAGTAAGCCCACTTCACGACCTATGCCTGAGGAGGTTGTAGGCCCTACTGATGTAACTAAATTGATACAGCATCAAACTACCGTCTAAATATGTATGTTTATACCCATTGACAAAGGTTACTCTCAACCTTAGTTAGAAAAGTCTCTCTTTATAATGAACAGCAGTAAATATAGAGAGACCAGACTCATATATCCCTAATATTCTGAGAATATGTGTTGGTTGAAGGCATAGTCCTAAACAAGACATTATACTCCACCCTCTAAGGCTCAGAGAGCACTGTGGAAGATGGGTGTAGGAAGTATAGAAAAGCCAAAAGATAAGCCTGTGAGATACCATCTTCTGAACTCAATATAACTGTCACAATCATGAACTCAGCAACTGCAGTTACCCTTGCTGGCCCACATAAGACAGGCCATGTGAATAGTCATGGAAAAGGAAGGGACTCATACATCTTACTGTTGCACTATTGGCTATTGACAGTTTCTGAGAACAGGGCAATAATTGTCTCTAGTTACATATCCACGGCTGAGCCTACCAGGCTCCAACAGATTAGCTCCAAACCCATAGTAATTTGTACAGCCCTGATTAAACACAGTGGGTCCCAGAGAAAAACAAATAGACATGAATAAGAAAGTTGTGGGAAAGAGGGGGTGTATGTATAAAGGAGTAGTAGTGAGATGAGAGAGATTGAAATTAAGAGTGGTTAGTATGCATTGTGTACATGAATTCAATCGTCAAATAGTAAATTTTATTTAAAAAAATTTAAAGCCCATAGAATTATGTAAGTTCCATTCAATATTTGGTATTTGTAAGGAGTTGAATAGAAAGTGTGTGTGTGTGTGTGTGTGTGTGTGTGTGTGTGTGTGTGTGTGTAGATGTGTGTATGTGTGTTTTGTCTTGTTATGCCTTTTTATTTTTGAGACTCTCATACATATACAGAATGAAATATGATCCTATTTACTCTTAACTTCCCTCTCTAGTCCCAAGATCTGCAACACAGCCCCTCCCAACTTCATGCCATTTTTTATTTAATGACTCATTAAGTCCAGTTAGTGCTGCTCATATGTGCATGGGTATGAGGCTATCACTGGATCATAGGGAACACATCAGTCACTGGAGCATAAAAAACCCACCACTCACTGGATCCTGGGGAACTTACCAATCACTGGAGCCTGGAGAACTTACCAGTCACTGGAGCATAGGGAATCTACCAGTCATTGGAGTATAGGGAGCCCACCAATCACTGGAGCCTGGGAACTTACCAGTCACTGGAGTAAAGTGAACTCATCAGTCCCTGGAGTATAGGGAACCCACCAGTCATTGGAGTATGAGGAACCCACCAGTGGCCACATCACCCAAAATAAGTAAACAAGCAAACAAACAAATAAATAAATAAATCCCCCCCCCCACCGCAATATTTAATCAAATCTGAAAAGCTATCAGTTACACATTCTATTTTGGTCAATACTCTAGTAGAGAAAGATGACTTATTTTCTTTCACACCAGTACTCAGGAATTGACTATACAGTACATTTTTAAAACTTGAAGTAGAAATGTCAAGTGTCAATAAGGGTACAATCCAAACTGAAATCTGTTCTTCCTGGATTTTTATCATTCCCCAAACTGTCAACCAAATATAACTAGTAAATATAATATGGCTATACATTAACACTTTATTACCCTTTCCATTTTTGTAAAAGACCAACTCAAATTATATCTTTTATTAGTATCTGTTGAGTTGCAAGTTGTGAATGAAATCACAAGCAGTCTCAGAGTGTGGTTTGATGTCTTTTAAGGTTATTAAATTGGCTCAGCATACCTTTGTTAGCTTCCTGCATGTCATTAAAGAAAATTCTTTAATGTGCTTTACTTACAACTTGTGCTCTGGTCTTGAAGAATTCATAAATACACTCCTCTTTCAGCCTCATTAAATTAGCTTAGTGATTAGTGGCTTTAACTTGATTTTTATTCAGATTTTTAAAAGTAGTTTGAGATTATAATGGCATGCTTTTCCCTAGTTTTTCTTCCCGACAAGTCCTCCTATTATGTACTGCCCTGCTCTTTCAAATTCATGGCCTCTTTTTCTTTAATTGTCGTTGTTTTGTGCATATGTGTATGTTCCTATTTTTTTAAAAGGTGGTTTGTTGTCTCATTGCCTTTTCTCTACTTTCTTCTTACCTATATTAGTTTTAAGAAAGGGTAGCAGGAGAAGCTTATGCTTTCTTCCTTGCCTTTATTCAAGCAGGAAAGAGGTTTTAAAATTGACTGGATTGACCACAAATAATTCTACAAGCAAAACTTGGAAAATTTCCAAAATGATGCAGTGAGTTGAATCACACCACACAAATGTATCTATAACCCTGAGGAGTTTTGTGTGGACAAAAGCTGATTATGTTAAATATTTCCTGAAATTGCATGCTATTGTCAGACCAAATAATCACAAGCAAGACATCCATGTTAAATATGGAAACATTTGTGTGAGTCCTGCCTCACATTGTGCTGTCACAGATGAATATTTTTAATGGTTTTGAGTGATTATGGAAAAGGTTTTCTTTGTGTAGATTTCTGAGCTGGATGTTAATATTATTAACCCTTCCGTGATATTAGCTTTGCTGTTTGGAGAAAGACTTGAGGCTGGATGTAACTGATGGCCATGATGATGGCAAGGCATTAATGTGATTTGAAAGAAAAATTTTATGTTTCTGTTTCTGTTAGATTAAATTTGTTTTCTGGTTCTCTAAGTGAAAAAAAAATAAAGAGAAACATTATTACAAGTCAAAGGAACACTATATAAATTATTTATTTTCTTCCTCTATGTACCTTGAGCACACATATAAGTATTCTATAAAAGCCAGAGAAAGTGTTCTTTTCTCTATCTTCCACCATTAGAAAGTGAAAAAAAATGTATATATGCACGTATGCTTTTGTATCTAATGGTTATATCATAGTTGAAGTGCCAGTTCCACACACAAATCTGTCTTTGGGTTAACTTGAACTGTGACATCTATTTGATATTTATTCATCTCAAAGAACTCGTGTGTGTGTGTGTGTGTGTGTGTGTGTGTGTGTGTGTGTGTCCTGGACCCCAGATATTGACATTTTATTTCACTCTTCATATCCAACTGTGTGGCAATATTGAGTTGCTGATGAAGATTGAAGGGAGGAGTGGGTAAGCAAATCACTAGACTAGTACAGTATTAGTACAGTGGTAAGGCACTTCATTTCTCATGAGTGAGAAAGGTTTTTCAGTAGTCACAGCAAAAAAAATGGTAGCTTGAAAATTATGACATGGCAAGAAGTAATAGAAACTCAGAAGGATATGGTAGTAAAGATTAGGTTTAAGAAACAGCTGGCCTGAACAAGGAGGAGCACATGGACCCCAGACTTCTGTCTGGGAGGTCAGCACAAGACTGATCCAGACCCCTGAACATGGATGTCAATGAGGAGGCCTCTGCACTCTAGGGGGCCCCTGGTAGTGGATTAGTATTTTTCCCTGGTGTAAGAAGGGATGCACTCTTGCCCCGGACACATGGGGGAGGGCCCAGGATGATGCGGTAGACTTTGGGGATCCCCCATCGAGGGCCCTACCCTGCCTGGGGAGTGGAGGGTGGATGGGGGGCAAGT